TATATATGTGTGTGTATATATGTGTATATATATATGTGTGTGTATATGTGTATATATGTATATGTATATATGTATGTATGTATGTATATATGTATGCAGGTTCATAAAGGGACAGGCCTCATTTTTTGGGTCCGATCATAGCTCTAATCTGATGAGATTGGTTTTGGTTCTTATTGAAGTTCTCTGTTAATGTGACAAATGAAGTAAATCATTTGTAATTCCTTTGATTTTCTTTTCTGTTACAGCGGGTGGTGAACTTTCCGGGGGACAATGGTACATTTTTTGTCCCATGATAGAGCATGACGTAAGCTTTGTGTTTTGTGCACAACAGTTTTTTGTGGCACTGCATTAGTTGTGGGGAAAGGATAAATGCACGCTCTTATTATACATGCGCATCCTTTGTTTCCACTTAACAAAGGGGTGAAAAACATTGTTTGGTGCAGATTTATTTTTGCATTCCTTCCATGGTCCATCAGCTCTTGGCTCCCATTGTGGCCCAGTTATCTACAGAACCATTTACCATATTATCCACGTCAACCATAATTGAATTACACCAGCGCTCCTGTGATCGCTACTGAGACCGACAATGCTCATTTACATGGGTAGCTGTATTTACATGTTTGTTCTGCGTCATGCTCAGATTATGATGATTTGCAGAAGTGGCTCATAGGTGTCATCAATTAATCCCTCACACAGTGTGGAGATGACTCATCCAAAGTAGGAAACTTGATGCTGTGCGTAGAAGAAGAAAGTGGAAGCAGAGCAGCGGAGCACATTCGGCAAACAGAGCGCAGACGCCTTCAGGTGGAGACCTCGGAGGGTCACAGCCGTGGGTTAGGCGTCATCGAAAAACCTGTCTTTATCTCGGAACTGTCTGCCACCTGCTCGCACCGCCGGAGAGTCTATTTGTACTGTGGTTAGAGAGTGACGCTCATGAGCACCCGCTCTCTGGTTACCATGAAGTTTAGTCGGAAGATGTGGGGCGCCAGGCATTGTCTTTAAGAACAGTGATAAAGAGGGATAATGACAAAAGGCACTTGAGATTAAGGAGTTATAGTTTAACCTCGAGCAATAATGCACCTCCGTTTTCTGCAGTAACGCGCACACACTCTTCAGTGTGCAGTGGGTTTATCGTGGAAGACGGTGTCTTGCCTTTAAAAAGCAGATGTCTCCAAAGATAAATGTTTCCCTGTGATATGTCACTGAGGACTTTATTTTGGAGTATTATTTTTTCACCCTCAGGATAGAACTGTTAAAGGCATTAGCAGAGAAGAGATCAGCAGTTTCCTCTGCCTCAGAAACTTCTCTGTTGTTTACTGCAACTGGGATTCCCTGTTGAGTATAAATCACATTAAAGGGAAAGGATTAAGGGGTATATCATTACTGCATGTCCTAGCATAAGTCAAGGAGAAACCTAGGGGAGCAGAGACTCATTGATGGAAAGAAACCATCAGTATTTCATGTGCAGTATCGGTGGTTGTCGAGTGTAGGGGGGGGGGGATCCTCTTTTCTCTTGTGAGCTCAACAAATCACAACTTAAGTCAAAGATCCTCTTCCTTTTGTGGACCCTGAAGACATGAGCCGAGCAACTCCTTTTCTTTCCGCCCCGTAGCTTCCCTCTGGGCCAAGCCTCGAGGCTGCCACCCTCTCTCAAATCCGCTGCATATTTCAAGAGGAAGCGCTGGTGCTGGGTGAAAATGACCTCTGGGTCACCGGTTCTCTCCAGGTACCACTGCCATAGGAGGCTGCTCTCCTTTAAAAGTACTTTGATGGAAAAGAGAAAAGGTTGGTGTATAAAACACATTGCTGTTTCTTTTATTCTTTGCTCTTAACTCAACTCACAAGAGAAAACCTAGTTTTTTTTGTGTTTTCTTTCCCCTATGAGATGAAGTGGTACCACAGCTTTGAGTATTGCTCTAAATACTTCAATCACATTCTGGTATGACTCAATGAAAGGAACAAAATGGTCTAAATCCAGATGCGTCTATACTAGAGATCCACTTGGCCGATACCCATTTCCTACTGTCTGACCTGCCGAGACTGATTTTTGCTGATTACGATTTTTTTACTCACTTCACTATAATTGATGGACTTGCTCGTTGACAAATTGTGGGCTTTTCTTCTTCACCACTCACATAGTTTTAGGTTTGCTTCATTGCTATCTAATTTGTTTACCATAGTTCTTAGCTCAAAAAAAAAGGGAAAGCACCCACACTGGCTGATAAATATTTCATTCATCATGAAGGAAGCCACACAGGAAGTAATGGGCTATCACTGGCATCCTAAACGGACTGCAGAGAGAAGTGAAACGGGGGGAGGGGGGATTTTAAAGCAGAGCGGATGAGATAAAACAGGAAGGGAGAGGGACAAAATGGGAGAAAAAGAAAGAAAAATATGAAGTAAAAAAGGTGGGGATGAGTGGGGAGGTACATGCAGAGAAAAAGAGGTAACATGGGCATGTTTAAAGAAAGACAAGAGCGTTTCCATGGAAACCACTTGTATGAAAATCTTTAAGGCTGCCATTTTACCGCATCTAAATTACTTTATTTCTTTTTTTATTCATATCTCTCCACCCATGGCTCTATTATGGCTTTGTGAAGGCCTGAGATGGATATTTATTCAGGTCAGTCCCTGGTGTGCAAGGCCCAAGGAGGGACGTGCACAAGACAAGAATACCATTCTGGGTATAGGGGAGCTTTTTCAGGATTAAATTGGTGCCCTCTGATTGCTCCAATACAACAAAGACACAAATGAAACTACACGAAATAGCATTGTGCCATTTTGAAAGAATAAATTGTCAAGATTGTAGGTTGTTTTTTTGGTTTTTACACAAAAGTGTTTCAGCTGCTCTGCAGGATAGAGGCTGAACTCTATTGAGGTCAAGACCAAGTGTGATGTGTATGTGTGTGTACCAGTGTTCAGCAGCGTTGAGCGTGTCGAGATGTTGATTTCCTGCAGAAGCTCCAGTGTTTCGGTATGAAAGAGACGGATGGAGGAACCCTCAGAGAATGCCATCCACACCCCTCCGCCGGCACATGCCATGTGTGCGACGCTGATCATTGGGTCTGGGTGGACCTCAAACGTCTGTAATGGAAACAATAATACTGTTGTAGTTAAGTTCATTCTTTTCATTATTTCTACTTCATGCTGAACCTCTGGTCCATCCCACATGGGATTACAGGACACTGTTAGTTTATGAAAACACACATAGATAGATTCTTTATTGTCCTTTTCCATGAAAAGGTGTTGCCACAGTCTGCAAAGAGCCTCACATAAATAAAGTATACACATGACATGACTACATGAAAGACATCAGGTACATTATACACACCTCTACACATAGGTTGGGTGGGGAGGCTGACTAGAATGACCACCTTGTTGATGTCACTTTGCAGTTTTTATCCATGCCTGTCCAAATGTCGAATTGTCATTAGACATTTGTGGGGAATTGTCATAATTAGCATAAACATTCTTGAGTTATTGCCCAAATTGTGTTTCATGAGGTCATAGTGACTTTGACCACAGAAATCGAATAAGTTCATCCTCGAGTCCAAGTAGACATTTGTGCCAGTTTGCCCCCCCCCCCGACAAACTAGTTTCCTAGCAGCGGGAAGTAAGGGAGCTAGCTAATTATTGTCTCATTCGTGGTCTGATAAACACTGCATTTATCAAATTCAGTGGTAGCAAACGCGCTAATAGGCTACAGGCTCAATGACACATAAACGGCTCCCTGGATTGGTTTGAATGGTGTTCACTCGACAGCGGTCCGAAACCACCAGAGAGCAGTTGTTTGGTCCGCACCAGAGTTTTTGAGTCTGGAGCTCACACGAAAGCAAAGTAAATGCACCGAGGGGGTAAAGACTCCAGGGTTCGGTTGAGCAGGACTAAACAAGTTTGGCGTGAACGTGCTCTACACTTGCTCTTCTGTGAATAAAGTCTAACTGCGCTTCCTAAATTTGTGATTTACCGAGTCCCTGACACACGGGGCGTGTTTTTGCACCATTCCCCCGGCTTCTGTCGTTTTAAGAGCACAATGGGGGAAAAAAAGAGTTTCAGGCACACAGTCTTAATGAGTAGCTTGAAATAAATGCAATGAGCCTTATCATGGCAACACATGCACCCCCTGCGGTCCGAGGCGTGACAAGGGCTGGTTTGGGCATTGTCTTGGAACCCGTATCACTGTCAGTGCATGAGTTGCACAAGGCTGGCCAATTAGTCAGTGAGAGTGAATGAGTGAAGATGAGAATGCAACCCCCCCCCCACCACCACAAACCCAAGTGCACTGGCGGACAGGGATTACCACCTGTTTGTGTGCCCTTGCCAGTGGGTCCTCCTTTGTTTAAAATTAGGGAAAAGGAGGCAAGGCTTTGATGTGTTTTCTCTTTTAATTGACTCCTCAGCAGTGGGAGCCTGCTCCGCCTGGGAAAGGATATGCAATGCATCTCTTCGTTTTTCAAGTGCAGCCATCAAAAAATTTCAATATCCATAATAAAGAGGCACATTTCTCCTCCAATAACCCATTGCAATTTCAAATACGTTGACAAGTCTGTGAAGAAAAACACAGTCACAGTGTGCTGTATATGCTGCGTGATTATCACATTAGCTATTACCAAGCGTGGTGGCTCCGAAAGAGACTCACAGGTTATCAATGGCTGACATGCTGCAATTGGTAGATGCCATCTTGGAAGGCAAATGTATATACATACTGTTATTTGACTGGAATACACATAAATCTCATAAAAAGTGCCTGGAAATGTATTTAAATCATTGATTTAACAATTTAAGGGAAAAATGTGCTTTTAAATGAATATCAGTTCACACTCAAGTCAATATTGCAAACTAGAATCCTCCAGATATTGTACCACGGATAGAGACTGAACAAAATTGAAAAAAGCTCTGTGTCAAACGCGAGATAAATACAAGCCACAACTGTTGCCCTCGACCAACAACCTTGTATTAGTCTGCTGAATGCAGCATTGCTTGCAGAGATGAGGTGGTCAGTGAAGCTTGACAGTAGTAATGTGGCCTTTACACTAAACTCGGCAGTGTCCCACTAACCGCAGCATCCCTCCACCAGCAGCGGGAAATAACAGCGGACCTGAAGTTGCAAACACTACAGCTGGTCTGAACAGCTCATTAGTCCTTCATTATACCAGGTGACAAGGTGTCTTTGTCCTTTCCTGTGCGCTACGTCCACATCACTCTGGGCTATGGCGAGGGAGGTGAGGGGACATGTTAGTGATAGGACAGAGCAGGTAGAAAAAAGAAATAGTAATGGGAAGAGGAAGGAACAAGGCCTGCCAGTCAGTATTGATCAAAGCCTGTATGTCCATGCACGTCCCACTTTGTTAAGGTTTGGTTAAGAGCCAGACTTCCACAGAGTGTGTACAGTTTGGGAAGGAGATTGGCTATTTCAAACTCACAAACAAAGCTGAGATGTGCCGAAAATCATGATAAAATGCTGGTAGTTTTGAACAAAATGATGTGTAAAAGCATGTAAAATCATACAAACAATACACTGCATCATTAGATTCACCCCTGCTGTGTGACTGTCTTCAAAATAAATAAAAATATTTGATTTGTTGAAGGTTTTGCTCATTTTCTTCCCAATTAAATTGTTTCAAATTCCAGGACAATGTTTCAAATTCCCTTTGTGTGCCATGATTCCTGCTGTTACCGAGCACAGTTTGTCATTTTGCAATTTGGCTGATGTACCCAGATTTATTTTATTTATTATTTTAGACATTAATCAGTTTAAATTGATTTTCACATTCAAAAAGTGGTGTCCTCTTGCTCGAGGACACTGATGGCCACAGTTTACTGTCAACAGGGTCGTCTGTCGGTGAGCTGAGCTCGGAGCATGCATTTAGTAATTGCAATTGGGGTTTGCGGGGGATGTTTTTTGTTGCAGTACTGTCGGGGGGCCTCTGGCAGACTGACGGACTTGCTGCACCACATCTAGCTCTCTTACTGCACCAGTGGGCCAAATTAGAGCTACCAATAGCAGGAATCGGGGCTGGGTCTCAGCAGTGACAGGACCCCCCCCCCCCTGAATTACCTGTTTAGCTTCACAAGAAGTCGGCTGTAGGGATGACGATGTCAGTCCACCGCTTTGGGTAAAATATTTTGATAAGTAATAACTTGATTGCCATGAAAATTAGTACAGACATTCATGGTCACACAGATGATGAAAAGCTAATGACTATGGTGACCCCCTTGACTTCTTCTTGAATGAGAATATCCCAACATGATGGATTGGTACGACGCTTGGAACAGACATTCATGGTTCCCAGGTGATGTATCCTAATTACTACTGCTTCCAACAGGTCGACAGTTTGGTTTCAGAGTGAAAATCGCAGCAACTGTTGGATCAGTGCTGTAATTTTGGAATTAATTGTAATAAATTTGGTGATACTTTGACTTTTCATTGAGCACCATCATCAGATAAAAGTTGTTTTGTCCACCATTTCTCTTCAAAAACCAAATACCTGCAAAACGAATTCAATTCCCATCAGGCTCAGCGATACTTTGGGTTTACTGCTGATTAGCAAACGTTGGCATGCTAACATGGTGAACATGGTAAACGTTAAACCAACCACGCATCGGCATGTTAGCATTGTCGTTGTGTGCATATCTATCTTTGTCTATCTCTTTTTGCAATGATTCTTTTGCTGAAGTTTTGTCTGCAGCACTATGGTTGTCATGACCCCCCCCCCCCCCCCCCCCCCGGGTGAAGTAAATAATCAAAGAGAACAAAGCTTAGAGTACACACGCACACATTTTTCAGCGATGATACTTTGGGTTTCTGTTGCAGGCGATTTCCACCACACAGTTAGTGTTACAGCCATGTTTACCCAAAACAGACTGGAGAGGTTATATTTAAATAACACTGTGTCATCAAAGCATTGACTGTGAAGCTGTAAAAAGAGAATCAATCGACCGGCAGCGTCAAACGAGACAGGCTACAGTGTCACGGATAAATAATTCAAAAGTGCAGTAAATTTGACAAAGTGGTGGAACCATCCGCAGGGGAAAACAACGGAGAAAAAAAAAGTGAAGTGAATACGAGTCCACGACCCTCTAGCCTTGCTTCCCTTCATTTCTGCTACAACAGGTGACAAGCTCTGCTTCTCCAGATCCTGGATATGCACCGCAGCCCCTGTGAAGTCAGTCAGCCCTCTTGAGTGCATATTAGTGAGGAAGACAAGGTTAGCGAAGAAGTTGCCGCTGACCTGTTAAGCTCTGTGGGAGATACAGTGAACCAGAACTGTGCCTCCACTGCGTGGCCATTCAGCTGATCAAGCTCGTGTCTCAGGAGGACCGGGCTATGGAGAAGAGGTGAAGGAATAAAAGGAGACATCCCTAGCTCGGCTCACTCCTGATTTCAAGGATCTCGAAGGCAGATTGGATTAGTCGCTGTCTCTGTCCTGGTTGTCCAGATTTGTCAGCTGCTTTCTTCTAATTTGTTGCAACTTTTAAAAGAAGAACATGCAATTTTCTTTTTTACTTTGCCCCGATTCATTGACATTGAATATGGAAAACAAATGTATATGAAGTGAGCAATGAGACACATTCATTTTCTTTATTGTTAGTGTTTTAGTTTGTCTGGTTGATATTTTTCTATGTCGTCTCCTTGTTTTTATCCAGGGAAGGTTTGCTGAGCACACATGCTCCTTTTTCTCAACAAAAAGCTCTGCTACCCATTAACACAGCGACGCACAATCACATCTGGGAGCTATAATTAAATGCTAATGGTTTGCCGTTCGCTATCTGAATACCATACCAACATTACCCAAGGAGAGTTTGTCCGTCATTCACTATTGTCTACCACAGCCGGCAGGCAATCCCCCCCCCCCCCACCCCCCTGTACACCTTGAATGACACACCCCGCAGATGAACACCTTGGAGAATGACTACACAAAAATGGAAAGCATGACACAGACAACACCCGGGCTGATTTTGTGGAGATAATGGCGAGCATAGCATAACTCACAGCGCTACGGCTAGATGAAGCTTATTTGTGTGCGAGAGCTCCAACAAACATTGTGTGAATCTAAAAAGAGTTTGATTCGTTGTCCATGCAGCAGCTCCAGGCAGTAAATCTTCGTGGCATCACAGATTACAAAGCCGGCTCTCTAAGGCTGTGTGCATAAATCTTTTCAGAAAATGAAAAGGAGAGGATTTTTTTTCCCTCAAATGCCGCAGAAAACAACAAAACACATAAATAAAGCACCGTGTCTCGCAGTTTCACTTGTGAACTCATCCATTTAGGTCTTCAGAACATGTTTTAGTGAAGACTTACAATATTCAGCAGCTGGAGAGGTGGACGGATTTGACCTTGAAGTAGCAATGGAAGAAGTATAACACATTTCCTTGAAGCACTCTCTTTATCCGGGAAGACAATTATTTCAAACAAGAGTTGTAGAATTGCTTTATCACAGCAGTACGCGTAGCGCGCCTGTTTAGGGTTTCAGCAAATGTGCATGTGTTTGGGTATAAGTCTGATGGATACAACTGGAGTAAACCAATTTGTAATGGGATGATTTAATATAGTTTTGCTGTTGTTAAACGCGTCACCCATTCACTTTAATTCAACAAGAATGTTCTCCGTTTTTGTATTCTTCATTCACCTTGAAGGCATGTGAGAAAAATAATGTTTTTTCTTTTTTTTTTTTACAAATTTAAGGTAATATATTTATAAATGATCATTTTGGGGGCGAAGTATTTCTTGAAGGTGAATGAGTCATGTTTAGAAAAAGTCAAAGTGCATTACATCATGTGGAATTGTTGGAACGACAGCATCTCTATATTTATCAGTTATTGTTGTTGCTTCGCCTTAAAGGAGAAATATCCATTTAAATATAAAAAATTTAAATTGATGACAATTTGCTCAGATGGATGCAGTTTGTATTTTTTTTCATGATGTGCCCATTAATGATCTAGTCATTTACCTGAGTGCTGAGGCTGGAGATGTCCGTGACTGTGACAGAGTTCCCGCAGCTTGCCCACACTGAGTCATCTAACACCAACAGTGTCCGCAGTGGTTCTGAGCCCAGTTTTACACATCTGCAGGAGTCCGGGTCCCAAAAATCATCTGGGGAAAAAATAAATAAATAAAAAACAAATATATATAATGAACAACAAACAAATGCACTGCTCAAAACTACAGCCGAGATATCACAAGGGTGTGAAGGAACTATTATCATTTTTGAAACGTGAATGTTCTCGGCAGCAGTAAAAAGCTAACATTAGGCTGTAGACTAGTCGGAGTAATGATGTTTCGTGGTCTCATTTAGCCAAAGTGCCTTTTTTAAGACACCTACAAGCTTCAAAATTCACAAGAAGGGAGTTTACTGATGAATTTTAACATCTCAGAACAACACGTTCAAATCTCTTAAGCTTAACCACAGAGCTTATTTCAGGCATCCAAAAACCCTTCGACGAGGGAACCGAAAGTGCAAAAATGCAAACTTGTTATTCTGCACCGCTCGGGCATCACCGCTGGCCTACAAGTTATATTAGCAAACTCTGTGTTGAAATAGAAGTGGGGCATGTGTTCAGTCACATTGAGCGAAGCGATTACATTCAATTCTTCCCCCTTGAATCACAGCAAGTTAGCTTGGTGTTTACCTTCAACATTCTCTGGAAGTTACTTAATGCCGTTGAGCAAATACTGAAGCATTAATGGAGAGGGCTCACAGTGGAGGCTTGTTCGTGAGAGAGTACGAACAACAGGTCGGCCAAATAAAGACTGCGACTGCCATTTGAATCGCTCCACACGCTGTGCGGCGCAATGTTGGTACCTTTGCCACCCACGTGCCAACGAGTCTGGTGCACACTTTAATCTACGTTCCACTCAGGTCCTCTCTCTCTCTCTCTTTTTGCTTCATCGGCGTGAAAACGAAGCAGACCCTTTTCCTTTGAGTTTTAATCACGTAGCAGCTCCCACAGAAGCACATTATAAAGTGAATTACATAAGCATTTCCTTTGCCATGCATTAATGAAGCAAAATTAGAGAACAGAGTGCACCCAGCCATTTAATTAACATTTTGAGTTGTTTATTTCTGCCTTTCATAGCGGAGTAGCTTTACAATGCCTTCTGACTTCCTCAGGTTAATTGCTTGGCATGTTACAAAAGGTCATTTTTCCACCTTTTCAAAATTCACTCCTGTAAATGCCCCTCCGGTCCCTCGCGCTAAGCAAGACCAATGCCGGCACTTCTCCCTCTTTACCACAGCGGGGGTTCGTAACAAAAACTCCTCCGGCCTCGTCCTGCAAAACATTGTCTTTGTTGACACGATGCCTGATGCGCATATCTCGGTAACGAAAGCTGGAGCACATTAATCACGAAGCAACAATGTGTTGCATGTATTCGCCTTTAGATACGAGTCTCAACCGAAGCCTTGGCATTTCTCGGCTGCTTCAGACTTGTTTTTAAGACAGTAGCAGCGCCAGTCAAGGGCAGACATCTTTAACAGATGTGCCGAATCCACAAACATTCGCCGGCCCCCTCCAGAGCTCTTTAGCCGTCCTTTTCTTTATACAAAGCAATGAATGGTAATATTTAATCGGCACACAGCAGCTTGGTGTAATTAATCATCCTTTCTGCTTGGGAGGAGAGAGGAGGAAGGCAGGCACGCTGACATACTGAGGCCAGGTAAGAAGAAACTGGTGATAGAGCTATTGTACTCCCGCTGGCTGTGAAGACCACAAACTACTGCTGAGGTGGTGTTAAGCGCCCCCCCCCCCGGCCTTGTGCAATGCCTGACTAAACATGCCATGCCATCTACCACATGGTGAAGTGTTATTTTCATACTGAGAGGAGGGCTGAAAATCAGTGGGCGCGGGGAGGAAAGCGTAAAGGGTGAAGTGATTCTCAGGCAGTCGTTTGAAAGGGAGTGTAACATGAATATCATTGTACAAATACTCTCATTATGAAAATATATTTACTGGGAAATGTGTCCCAAATGACACATAATGCTAATATCTTTATGGCAGAATTATTAAAAACGATTTTGATTTGAGCACAACAGCGCAACAGATGTTTACTGCAGAGCTGTATCCTGAATGTATAATGCATGGAAACAGTAAAACTCATTTGTACTTATTATTTCACTGTAGGGAAAAACATATTTTTTGTCCAAGGCTCATTATAAATAAACAATAAAAAAAAAATATGTAAAGTCCATTTCAGAAACAAAAGCTAGGGGATCAATAAGTAACCAACCATAGGAAATATGATTTCCTGTTAAATGAATACACCCTGTTTTTCTAATTGTTATTGCAACAATAACAATGACGGGCCTCATCCTGTTTCGCATCATATCTTACCATATAACATAACAAAAGTACCAGTGACAATCACACGTCCTCACTTCCCCAACAGACCACACATAGAGAATTGCAACAGGCAACCTGCTCAGATCACAGATCACCTGCTCCTTACCGTTGTTGCTTCTTCCATAAACCATCAAGGACCCGTTCCGCAGGCCCGCAAACAGGAAGCGAGCGGAGTGCTTCAGGCAAAGCACGGGGCAGCCCTCTGGGTTACGGAGGGTCAACAGGCATTGTGCTGCAGTGTCCACACTGCCGTACACCAGTACGCTGGAAGAACAAAAAGCAGCACGAGCCGACGTGATAAATGGGTGTCATTTGAAATGACAGAGTGCCTCGTTTTCATGCGGCTTGATTTAACAGCGCACTTTGGAGCAACGCATTGTGTATGTGCAGCCACTCTGTCTTTCTCATGTTCGAAATGCCACCTGAACTTTGCTGCATCTTATTGTCTTCTTCAGAATGATGAATGCACATCGCTTTTGGTTCCTCTGTCTGAGAAGGAAAATGTTAAGTAGCATTGGAGATGACAGTCTTCCGAGTGCGCTAAATTGATGAAATCGTATGTTTGTTTTTATTTGACTGTCTTTTTTCTTTTTCCCTGGACAGACACTTATATTGAAAGAGGATGAGTCGGCATAAAAAAAATTGCTGACTTTCAGCTCTTATACAAATGACTAAACACTGCTGTAAAGGAAAGTTAGAGAAATGATACAATGGCTGAATCTCAAATCCAACAATATTCTTTGTTTGAAAAAAAGAAACAAGCAATTTATTCACAGTGACGAACTATGACGAAGCCTGAGAGTAAAGCTGCCCTCTGTTCACTACGGAGGGGATCACAGGGTTTATTGGATCTGAAAATGAAACTGTGATCTGAGCAGCAGTAGCAGTATTGATGCTGTGTTGTGCTATCAACTCTGATTTCTTGCTTTGATGAAATATTGACAAGTAAATCTATACTGTTAGAAATATCAGTGGACTGTAACAAAGGATAACACAGGACATGCTTTACAACAGAGGATGTGGAGTATGCTGAGAACAAATTGTGTTCTATGCTTTTATCTAAGTGGTGCTTTTTTATTTTTATTTTCCAATAAAATCTAATTTCATATTTTGACCTCATTCACCACAAAAAAAAGCTTGTTTCTCATGTGTCTGCATGCTTTGTGTGATCAGTCTCTCACCGCCCGTCGTCTAAGCCAACACAAATGTTGGCGCCGATCCCCGAGGGGGCCTTGTGAACTCCAACCTCCACTTCCTCAGCCGGAGGAGGCTCTGGCACGTATTCCAGACAGCGGACAGCAGAGCCTACCTGCAGGCTCTTAACAGTCCTTGGCATGGGTCTGTTGAGGGAAAATATCTCTATCTGCCCATGCGAACCTTCTCCACTAGCCACCTGTAGGGAGACAAAAAAAAAAACGTGGTTGGAAAAGGTCAGGACCCCATGTTAAGCTGTACCAATGGACTGAATCATAATGACACAGGTAATAAACCATTCTGCTGAAACAGGGGGAAGAAAAGAGATGGGAAGAGCAGAGAGCAGAACCGGGCCAGCCTCCCTTAGATCATCCGTGCTATACGATCTCTGTCTTAATCAAATTATATAGGCCAGAGGATAATGTGTCTTTGGTTAAACATCCTCTACCTGTCAGCAATTTAGATTTCAGAAAAGTTCAAATCAATTCTCCTTTCAGACCTTTCAGTCGTTTGTAGTCCTCCCTCCCTCACCTTTTTTTTTTTTTTTTGAATATCACTTAGAATTTTAAACACATTATGTAATGGATTCACAATGTCATCTCCGGAACATCAAACAATTCTTATAAGTCTGCGATCTTTTCATCAGCGGAGAACAGAGAGGTTCTCGTACGTGTCCGAAAAGGCTCCGAGTTGTTTATCAATGAGGTTTTTTTCGGGTTTTTTTACGAGATCAAGTGACTGATCTATTGCTGGAGTCAGTTCATGATGAAAAATGAAGAAAAATGTATTATTTTCCTCTAATTGAACTGACATTTGACATTAACATTTCTAAGGTCGCACTGAAGTTGAGGACCCTGTTCTCAGTACCAACAAATAAGCACAAACACAGCTGTTAAAGCTGTTAAAGCCGGGATCTTTCAGCGGCTTGATTTGGACGGAAGTTTCAACGCCTGTAGATGCCTGTCTTTTTTGAAGAGGGACTTGTTTGTTTGGGTTTCGCCCTAACAAACAAGAAAGCAACCTCAAGCATGTCATCAAAAAAAAAATAAAGAAAAGGTCCACCAATCATATCGAGCTTCCCAGGGCAGTGTCTGCCTCAATAGAGGCTTGATTTCCTGTGCACCGCATTTATATCGGCCTTTGTGTAAGCCTGTCAAAGCCAATGCAGAGAAAACGAAGACAGCAGGAGCCCTCCAACCAATCTCCGATGCAATTCCAATTAAGGTGGCATTGCTCCCATTCCCAAACAATTAAAGTGTCGCTGTGGATTTTCAATATGACTTCATTCAGTCATTACTCGCCTCGGTGGATGTCCAGATAAAACAATGTCCTCCTCGGAGAAGAAAAGCAGGACTGCTAGCTGCTAGGCACCAAGGATTTATCCCCTGTATGAATCAAATCGTGTGAATGTGACAGGAGCTAAATATAGTCTTTAGCTCCTCTCCTCCACGCTCACCCTTATTTGCATGCAATCATTTGTTTGATTTGTATCAGCGTGCGGAATCTGGACAGGAGTGATCCTGTGGGCTCTGGAGAATGAGAGAGAACAAATAACGGTCTGTTGCACAGGGTGAAAAAAAAGATAGGGAGGACTTATCTTGCAGCGAGGAGCCCAGAAGAAGAAAAACACGGCTTCAAGTGACTCTGTGCAACCAGAGCCAGAGGCAAGAACCCCCCCCCTCCCATCCAGACTCCCCCCACTATTTATACATTCACCTCCCAAACTCCTCCGCACACCACTATCAGCACTGTCAACGAACACTTTCCCCTCCTCTTTTCAATCCCCCCCCCCCCCCCCCGATATCCAGTGCAAATACTGTGTCCTGACAAAGTCATCACTAGTAATTTAGCAAAATAGATATCTGGAGTCGTGCCCTGGACAGATCCCTGCTCTCAGCTTGGGAGAAGCAAAAACTTCCCAAACAGCAACTGCTCTGCCAGCATTAATTAGATTGCTCTGGCTGCAGCGGGGAAGCGTGGGAAAATGGTCACGATGGCACACTCTGCTCGATTGTATTCGCCACATTGAGAAGCCAAAAATTGTGGGGCACCAGATTTGCTGATGCATTTCAAGCTTCCCATCACTGACACCTGCTATGAATACTAAACGGAAACGGAATATTTGAGCAAATCTTTGATTGGACCGCTAAAAAGTGGGCGGGCTTAGAATTTGGCGCGATACAAAGCAATCAAAGTGCTCCCAATCTCTTTTAAATAGGTGCACAACATGACTGAGGATGTGAAGTAAAAGGGTGAAAATGGGTATTTTTTTAATTTAATCTCGACTTTTAATGGAAACTTTATCAAAAATGTAAAAGTACGATGTTTTGAAAAGTGGGACAAGGGAGGTGAAGGCAAACAGGGAAACACTGGGGTATCAGGCTGATTAGACACAATGTCATTACTCTGATCAAAGCACACAGAAATCCCCATAGCCCATCTCACTTTAACATGATTAGTGTCATCTCTTATTTGACAAGCCTGCCAGGGAGGTAGAACCAACTGGGGGCGGGAACGCTCAGCCACTAATTATTCTTGCTGGATATGCAAGCCTTCACTATTATTGTGTAGCTCGGATACCAGTTTGTTTTTGCTGTGGTTACATGTTGTACTGTAGAGCAACGTTCACTGAGCTTGAAGGTCAGATGTGATTCGTACTCTAAGAGGTACATTTCCTCATTGAAAGATCAATTCTGAATAAGCAGGAATGTCTTGCTAAGTCAACTGAGTCTGAAGAATTGAATTTCCATTCATGATGAAAATGTGGACTCTTAAGTAAAAAACCTAAGCAAAAGGCAGTATCAAGGTAAAATGGTATACCAGCGTATTTAGAATACAGACGCTTCTCTTTCAATTAAACAGACACATATGCTGACATGCTGTATAGGGTTTCCTCCCGTGTACTGTTGGCATGGCTAAAACCACATTTCCACCAAGAAGCTCCTGATCATTTTAATGCAAGGACTACTTTTCAAGGAACGACAAAGGTTCCTTCAGCCTATTGTTGTGTGCGTTTCCATGGTGATCAAAAGACAGTAAACACAGCCTGCAGTTCAGTGAAAAAAAAATAAACGTAGGTTTGTCTCACTGCGACAAAGTTTCCTGCTGCAGTTTTTTTTACCGTGTGCACCAATCCTCTGCTGAGTGTTTGATAGTTGTACGTGCTTTAGAATGCAACCGCCAAGAAATAACCACAAAATACATTTTGAGCGATCACTTTTTTTTGTGACTGTCTTTTTTAAAATGTTCTCCCCTCTTCCTAAAACGTTCGGAAAACTTGTTTTATGAATAAAGCGGTGCACAAGTCGCCGTGGGTGTGTGTTGAACCAATCAGCGACGAACAGCCTGAGCGTTCCTACGCAGCACGTGTACACGAGGGTATGAAGGTAGGAAAACATTTTCATTGACATGTTCGAGACTTCCTGATGGCATTCACCACAAAGGAGACAGTCCTTTGGTCTCTACCAGCAAACATTTTCAAGTTATTGAAAGTTTGTTTTTTTTACCAAATGTGACTCTCTCCAAGCACAGATATGCAATTCTAATTAAATGGAGAGGTGCATTTTCTGTTCACTGAGCAATGCTTCATCGCAGTAAACCTTTAACATTTTTCTTCCCTAAGTTTCACATCCATGTTGAGGCAAACTTAATTGAAACTACTTGAAATTTAAATTGAATTTGTTTTGACCTGGTAAAGTCTCTAGGACGTATTATTGACAAGCTGTTGGGGTAGTTTCTACTCCTTTGCTCTCTGGACTGAGGGCAGACTGGACGCCCTATCGCCTCTCGATCAACTGGTGGAATTACAAGACAGGGCGGGCCGGACCCTGCTCGATATTTCTGCAGCAAAATACAATGATGTGTTTGGAATAACATCAAAACTGTAACTTCATCACACTCACAATAATGAATCTTCTGAATGTTTTCAAGTAAAATTACGGCCAGATATTAGCACGTTGCACCTTTTTTAATGATCAGCATTCAGAAACACTTCCTTACACTTGAGACTTGCTTGACAGACTGAAGACAAGTTGAAGTGTCAAAAGAGTTGAGACTTGAACTGGCCTTGACTTAATAATGTTCAGCTCTTTGCAAGTATATGCTCTCTACAGATAGCTGCCGAATCCACCGCACATGGTTTATTGTGCAGGATCACCAGCCTTCCCTTCGCTTTACTGGAAGCATTTTCTACACACAGCATTATGGCCAAGCTAGCTTTGTGACTCTAAATGGTATGGGAGGACAAGGTCAGGGACATTTAAGTCATCTGTTATAGTAAATGCTCGAGAGCGGCCTGTGCTCCTTCAAACACTGATATCACAGTGGCCTAAATGCCGGCTCCGCCATATCTCTTTTACCCATCTGACTGAGCATCCGGTCCTCTTTAGAATAGCCACACAAAAGCAAAAGTCTGAGACACTGAGCCCTAGTCCGCTGTCCCGGAGGACCCGCAGTGGATTTAGCCACCTGTTAGGTCGAAGGAGGATTATCTGTGCCTGATAAACTGCCCACATTCCCCAAAAAGAAGAGGGAACTAAATTGAAACTTAAAGATTAATAGCAGAGTCTCTGCATCAGTTTCCCCCTTTTTCTCGACCCAGCTAAATTCCCACAAGTCCGGGGATTGTGATGCGATAGTCTGGCGGCACACTTTGCCCCACTCATCATAAAACACTCTGTAGCAGTTACCTACCACTAGCCTTTATACTGCACTGTATTAATTCAGTTTCTTGGCGACATTTTACAGAGAAAAATGGTGCATGCCCCATTCTTAGCCTTGGGACACATTTTTTATTCTGTGTTTTAATGAATGGGAGCAGAATGTGGAAAGGACGTTTAAATGGTCATGGCAATTCTGTTAAAAGCTCAAAATATTGGCAACTGTAAATATGCATTGTTTTGCCTTGACGTTTTTATTTTACTGATTTGGCATTCAAGTGTGTGTGTGTTTAAGTGTTTGTTTGTGTGCGTGTGTGTGTGTGTGTGTGTGTGTGTGTGTGTATAAGAAACCCATTACAGTACTTACCCAAAAGTAGCCTTGAGGTAAGGAGGTGCTCGCTGCAGAGAAGCCCAACAATGCACAATGAACCGGATTGTGGAGGGCAGCTTCAAGCTGCAAGAGACAAAATGAATATTGATTTAGTGTGTGTCACGGCTCAATACTAACACTTTAGTTTACCTTCTAAGAGACCACAAAACTGGCCCTGACTGCTCACTTTTCACTGGGTGGTTGCTGACCATGAAGTGCCTCAACTTTGCCACCGACAAGAACTTTGTCATCTTACATCAGTGTTTAAGGCTTTCCACCCATGTCGAAGTAGTGAATGTAAGGGTATGAAAACACTGGCTTGACGCATTGCATCTTATTAAAACTCTTTCTTACATACATTTTCACAGAATATTCAAAATAGCCGTCGAGTCTTGTTAAGATTGTGTCTTATAGGCTGTGGGTGAATAATTCATATGCTAAGAATTGTTTTGAAAAACAATGATATCAACAAACGCTAGCCCCCGATGTTCGTATTTGAATGTAACCTGCAGATGTTCAATCTTACATCGCCTGCTACTACTAATGCCAAGATGAACACGAAAACTAAAACAATGCTTAATATTTCAGTCATTGTTGGAGGCAAACGTTACGCTTTTGGCCTTTAGCTTTCATTACACAACTCTTGTTTTTACACCATTACATTTGTTTGGTGTTACTTTGAGTTGTACTTTGAGTTGTACTTCTTTGAGTAACCGTACTGTTTGTTCACAAGAGGATGTAACTCGTGAACCAAGGCAGTAGTCTATCTAATATCAATAAAACGAGCCAATACCCTATTAAGAGGGAAAATAAATCTATATTCCTTAGACATATGGCAGATTTGTTCCCCTGAAACGGAGTGATGGGGGTTGACATTTAAAGCGCCCGTGGCTGGTGCATCAAACCCCCCTGTGGTGAAAGCTGCTGTTCTAACCGGCGGTCCTTCCGGTAGGGAATGATTATTATTTTGGTGTGTGACCGCTAAGGGTGGGCCAGACGGAACAGCTAATTTTGTGTTGTCGGGGTGTTGAGAGTTTGAGAAGGAGGGAGGGGGGGGGGGTGAAGAGAGGGTCAGCGATGAGCACCGCACGTCTTTAACTCTCAGCCTCCACGGCGACAACCATCAATCACGGGTAATTTATAGCCTCTCTGGGCCAGGACCCTCCCCCTTTTCTCTCTCTTGTTGTGTGTGTCTGTAAACACTAAACAAAAAGAGGATGCTGGCCAGATCACTGCTCTCCCCATCTGCACCGCGAGGCTATTCCTCCACCCCCCCTCCCCCCTGTCTGTCTGTCTCCATCTATTCATATGCTCTACGCAGATGTATGGTTCGTCCTCTCTATCAATCTCTCAGTCCCACTTTCCCATTTCTCATTCCCATCTTTCACTCTCTTTTTTTATATGCCGGCTCTTTTTCTTCTGTCTGTGTCTGTGTTTTTTTCTCCCTCTCCCCTTCTGCCAGCTCCCCGTCAAGTGCGGTGAAATGTTTTTTTGATAGGTAATTAAGTGGCAGCCATAATAGTGTCCATATGGAGGCCCTGTGGTTAAGAGAGAGAGAGGGAGTGGCGGTGGACCAGAGGGACCGCAGCACTATAACGGACGGTGCCGCTAGTTCGATGGTGGTTGGATTTTTATCGGTCACCTGAGACTGGCGAGCATTGTAGGCCAATCTTTTTGGACCTAGATTGCTTTATATGTTAGCACTCTCTAGAGTCAGCCTGGCAGTGGGATCTATCCTCTCCATCACAACAGTCCCACCGCAACATTATATTCTGGTATTCAAAGGCAGGAATGTGCATTGATGTGTAAATGAAGAGCCTTGTTCCTTAATGAGATATTTACCATTTAAAAAATGTTATGTGGGTGCAAGAAGAAATATCATTTTGGAATATAATACATGTGAGCTATTTGCAAATGACAGCCTATTATTCAAAAGAAAGATACACAGCACTCTTCCTCTAAATCCACACAATCCCACAATAATTACAATGAAACATATTGTCCATATTATCAATTTAGAATTAAACATTTCGACTGTCACACGAAGCAACATTTTTATGTGAGAATGGCTCGATGTGCGCAAGACTAGCGAGGCGAGGATGGATTGTTTTCCTACTAAAGTGTAGACAGTGACTGTGATCAATACAGTAAACCGCTGGTCCACTTACTGGACTCCTTTTAACAGCCAGCCTAAGAAGCCTGTGTGGATCATTTGCACCTGTGATTGTGGAAATCATTTCGAAGGAGCACAAAAGGAAATGTTGTCTTCGGCAAAGACCATCTCGCTGGCGATACAAATGCTAATACGGTATCACTGAGACGCCATTTCAAAATCAATGAGATCCAAGCTTTCTCAAAGTCAATCGCCAGTCCTCGTTCTAGCACTCACTGTGTGTGTGTGTGTGTGTGTGTGTGTGCGTGTGTGTGTGTGTGTGTCTGTAGTGGGAAGCTGAGGCTATTCCCAGGTGCGGAGGCAGGATGAGAGAGGAAGGTGAGCCTGTAAGCCGGCTGATGAAGGTATGATGGAGGACTTTGGGGAGCGTGGGTAGGAAAAGGGAGGAAATGGGCAGGTGAGCTAATTAAAGCGAGATTTGTTGATGTGATGAGAGGGCGGCCTCCCAGCTGCCGGTTACCAATGACCCAATGGTTCGACAGAGAATCCGCCCCACCCATTACCCCAAGAGGGCGCCAGCCCATATGCTGGTTCCAGGTGGCAATGGTTAGCAGAGGAGCATCCATTTGCTTTCCTGGAAGATAAATGTAAAATGTGCGAAATTACACCAATTCCTGCAGGACAGAATGGATGTACTGGGAACATTTTCTGCCAAGTTACGCACCCACAGCTCATGGCTCTGTACGTCGACAAATGTAAGAAGAGGTGGTTATTGGTAGTGGTCTAATATGACAGGGAAGGGTTTTAATGATTCATGCTTTAGGCTGTCAGACTGTCTGAGCGGTGTCCCCTTGCTAAGGGTGACTTCCCCAAATCCAATTAATGTTGTTTTACTTCCCAAGGCTACCCAGGTGCACTGATTTTCCTTACAGCAACATTTCTCTGCAAGCACTGTGAAATCTGCTCTCGAACATGTGGGGGATTTACCACACATCCGATTCGTGACAACCGCTATCCGAAGAGGGTCCGTGCATCATATCCTCCCGGGGCACCATCATGTTATCAATGACAAGACACACTGCGGCCAGCATTGCATTGTCTGGCCTCCGCCATGCTTATGCAATGCATTCTCTTTATTGGAAAGAGTTCTCTACAGTCACTTATGAGATACTGCATTAAGCAAAACTCCTGAGCCCACATTTCTGCACTGTTGAGAAAAAAAAAATGAGTTTGCAAATATTATATATTGCACTGCTGAAAATCAAATAAAAAATATCATCTCTGTATAAACGGCATGCGTGCGGAGAAGTGGGTGCTGTACATATATTGGACCCAGGGAAAGGAAGTACTGCTGCATTTTTTTTTTTTTTCTGATTCCATAGTCACAGTGCCTTCCCCCAGTTCCACATACCAACAATCTTTTACATGCACTAACAAGCACTAATAGAAAACGTCCACTGTTTATTAACTGGTAATTGACTGGTGCTGGCGCTCCCTCCCCACTGCAACCCCACTGCCTAAGGCTACGGGCAGGACGGCCAGTCATCCTGAAATGACTTACATCCAGAGCACTGCTACAGGTAATGCACACTAAACAAGCTCCTAACATGAGAGACTCTGCAAAGTTGCTGCTCGGGTTATCAAAAATGAAAGCTCTGATGGAGAGCGGCGTCTCCTCATTGATTTCTTCATGAAATATAAAATGATGCTGAGTTTTCTGACCATATTTTGTCTATTTTGACCTTTTCTGTCAACATAAGTTGTGCTTCTCTAACAGCATGTCTGCTGCGGATGCTCAACATCTATCATGAGCTAAAACGTGTTCTGCTGATTAATGACTCTGACAAACTGCTAATACTCTATATCCATAACGTGCATTTGGATGATACTCTTAGGCAGAGAAGAAAGAAACACCCCTCCAACTTTCCTTCTTTGATTTCTTACAGATTCTTTTCTTGTGCTAGAAATTCTAACTGAGAAGGTGAGCAAAGAAAAACAACAGTAAAACTGACTTTTATACAGTTTAAAAAACAAAGAATAAAGAATGTGAATATGTTGTCAAGAAAAATCTGTACAACTGGAAAAACAAACAAAAGATCTGCGGAGAAACAAAAACAGATGGTGAGTTCTGGAAGAACAAAAACGACTGTTCACCGAGGATGACCGGAGAGACACGGAATTCTGTATGCCTGGGGTGAAAACATACAACAATTTTCGAAGTCAAATTGCCAGGGTCACACGGTCAGTACACCCGATTCTGACAAAAAAAAGTTTGACCTTAATTTCAGACTACACTATGTTTCACTCCTACTTGTTTGTTTTCCTTCTTCAATTGAACAATACAATGTTTCCTGACAGCAGATGGCTAAATGTATCTCTAAAAGTAGAAGGTACATTTACATGACTGTGGTATCGTCTGATATCACTCCATCCAATGGAAAAGGTTGGGAGCCGCTTCTCTGTAATAAGTCATAAATTAGGATTTCGGACAATTGCATCATCCTTATATTTCACTGGCAGGTGTAGTGTTGCATAAAGGTCATTTCTGATAACCGTCAAAGACTAAAGATTCAGTTGTGGGCTTTTAGCGAAAAAGTACTGAACATGTTCCCTGTCAACAAATGTTTTTGTTCGACTGTGGGAATATTTGGGGGCAAAATACAATGAATGCATTTTACACTTTGGAAATAAGGGCAGTCAAATGAATGGTGCACATTTGGGAGCAAATAGGGACAGATTATTTACCTGTATTTTCATCAGGGTTTATCAGAATCCGAATCAGCTTTAATGGCCATGTACGTGTACGCGTACAAGGAATTTGACTCCGGTTTTACATTGCTCTCCACATACATACACAGAATTTTCAAATAAACAGGAAAAAAAATGTAAATAAATAAACAGGGACAACAAAAAAGAAAAAGTAGAACAGATGTAAGCATAAACATTTAATGACTATGTACAATATAAATAT